TAATTTGTATATATTTTGAAATTAATCCCTTTCTAATCTAGTTAAAGGTATATATCTCATCCATGTTAGGATTAAAAAATTTGTAAGAAATTATTTTTTTATTAAATTTATGAGAAATTACCTTATTATTAACCTTTTTAAAGAATCAAATTTTAATCAATAAGAAAAAATATATATACACGTTTGTTTAATGTATATACAATTAAACTTAAGAGTTGTAATAAAACTCGCGAGGTTAATGAAATGCAAGTTGTTCTCTAAGTATTTTTTTTGAAGGACTTGATAAAGAAACTCATAGTTTAATTAATATTTTTTAAAAAATAATTATTGAACTAAAATTTTTATTTATATAGGTTATACATGTTAATTTTTATATTAATCTAACATTGATAATCATTTAATAAAAAAATTATTTACTGACATATATTTAAAGGTATTAAATTTTATATAATCAACAAATTAATGAGATTTACTAAATCAATATAAAAATTGAGATATATGATTTATATAAATAAAATTTTTAATTTAACGGTTAATTTTTAAAATATTAATTAAAATATAACATGTTTAGAAATGTTCTTCAAAAAAATGTCCTTAATTTTACCAAAAAAAAAATGTCCTTAAAAAAAACTTTTCCCTAAACTTAATTACCTAATTACTAGTACATGCTGATCCAATTTGACATAACTAACGAGGGCAACATGTAGAACAATATCACGTGTCATCAATAGTTAGTGATAAAGACCTCCCAAAAATCTTGAGTCATTTTCAACAAGATATGGATTTTACAATTTCATGTTAAGTATTCATCAACATTGGACCCACTTTCAGAAATTGTATATTTTAGGTAGCCATACATAGGCCCTGATGCAAAAGGAGAGTTGTCCCCCTCAATTTTGACCACGAGATTTCTTCTAAAGTCAAAAGTTTTAAGTTTAATCAAATTATAAGAATGGTTTAGAGAAGAGGAATTTTATAACTATTATTATTTTTTAAAAAAACTATCCATTGAGAGGAGGAAAACTTTCTCATCCTTTCCTTAATTTGGGTTGCATATTTTACTACTCAAATTTATAAGAGAAATTATCAATAATCGATTTAGTTAAAAGAAAAATACATTTTTAATAAGTTATTATTATTCTTTTTGTGTAAGTAGGTGAGTATAGATCCTAAATAGTCATTCAATATTTGGAGACAAAACAAAGGATTAGGTACTTGTAAAATGAATGGCGGTTGTATAAGGCACATGCAATTTTTCTATGGGGTTGGTAATCAAAGCTCTAAGCATGCATTTGTATAACAATTTTCCTAATAATCCAGCTCTTAGTTCAATGTTTTGTCCTGTCCTTTTTTACCGGCAAAAGTAAAACATCAACATAGACAAGATTGATTAAGAGTTTCTTATGTTTTAATATTTGGGATTTACTTGTTTATAGACATAAGTCCAAGTTATTTACCTTTGTGCTTACCTTGTGTCCTTATCTGTGTTTGTCTATTTTCCATTCTCATATCCATCCCATACTGCCTTTTGAAATTGCCTTTGACAGTTGTACATTTGTACTTATATGAGGAATTAATCCACAGTTAAAGTTTTCCTTTATTACTTAGTACAGTCTACCACCCTAAATTGTAAAATATTAATTTTATTAATTTAATAATTAATAAATTAAATTTATTTGTAAATTGATATTTACTCATAATTAATTATTTATAATTGGTGCAATTCAATTGATTATAAAAAAACACTTTTTTGTAATTACCAAAAGGAAAAAAAGCATAGATTCGTATGCCCTTGACTAAAAATTTTGTTCAATATTGATCTTAGCTTTATATATGACAAATTGACGGTGCATGCATATTTTGGAAAGACTAAATAAGAAGTCTCACACACCTCCCTAAATGTCATACTTACATGGGCACCCCAAATGAGGTGTTAAATATAATAAGGGAAAATGGAAACAAGCGTGGACAAATAGTCTGGTATTAATTAACCTTACCTAAACCAACTTACTTTAGGGACAATCAATATATTAATTAACAGAACTAATGGTCTATTAGTTTAAATAAAAAGAGTTTGATTTTTTTAAAATAAGATTTTGAATTTGACTTTTGTGAATAGAAAAATAAATATTGAAAAAACATTTCTTTTATAAGATCTGACACGACAACTTTAAATTAATTAAGATCCAATATAACTTTCGAATATTAGAGAACTAATACCAAATAAAAATATTAATTAATGAAATAATACAATAAACACCCCAAAAAAAAAATCCATTCTTTTGTTGCAGTTGCTGGTAGCTCTCTTTGGATTCTCTTTGTTTGTCTCCCCCTCAATTCTAGCAATAATCTTAACAATAATCCCATGAATTGCTCTCCTTTATGAACTTCTCTAGAGTTTTTAAATGCTCTTTTTTGATGAATAATATATATAATCTGGAGTTTATAATTAAATCCCACCCTTTGAAAATGACACTGAAGTTTTGTTTCTGGTGATAAACTATCACAATTACATTTATCCCTAACTACTTGCATTTTTCATTATCAATCATGTCCAATCCTAACCATTTATTTTTTGGTATCTACTGTCAGAATAATTTTCGAGTCAACTTGTTTCTTCTTCAAAACTAATTTCTCCCAATTCAGCCTAATGATTATTATTCCTCATTCCTGACCAAAATTGGGATAGCTGTAAGGAGGACCACAAGAAACACAAGGACAAACAAACATACCATTGCCAATTAACACAGGCGCATTTTACAAATTACAATGTTGCAAATCCCTTTCTCTGAAGTGACTAAGCTACAGATTTTACATGTCATGAAATTGATTGCATAAAAAAAAAAAAAAAATCCACAGCAACACATGAATATATGGAGACATTACTGAAGCCATTAGCATCTCTCATGCCTTCTCTCTTGCTTTCGCAATTATCAATTACATAAATTGTCTTCTTCTATGATTTATCCAACATCCTTCTTCGACCAAAGACGCAAAAGCAACTCCATGCAACACCCAAAACAGATAAACAAAGGGAGTTAATTTATATTTCCCAACATAACGTTCCGAACTGTAAAACAACAGACTCTAATTTGTATCATCAAGGTAGCTTTCTGGTCTTCGGAGACTATCTGGATCTGACGAAGAGAATAAGCTAATTATGATATCGGCGAAAGCGCTGATGATGAATTTGTGGGTCTGCTTTGGGTTTAAGGTAAGGTAACAGAACAGCAGTTCGTGAAGAAACTCCCAGTCGCTACTGACGTCCTTTACATTTCTAGATTCAATCATTTCCTGCATCGAACACCGGAAATCTCTATATGGATCCGGTGAGAATTTCTTGACTGCCACGCCTCCGTTGAGCGGTGGTATCTCGATGGAGTCCCGAGGTTTGGTGTCTGGAGACTCAACGATGGAGTTGGAGAGGCCAGGGGAGGAGAAGAAGAAGCGCTGGGAGGCGAAAAGGGTGGCGAAATCTGGGGGAGAGTCGCTCTCGGAGTCGGTGTCTATGTCTGACCTGTCGGTGGAGTGTGTGATGATGGACTTGGAGGTGGAGGCAGAAGAGGAGAAGTCATAGAGGGAGTTGAAGTTCTTGATTGGAAACGCCGCCGCTGCCACTGAAGATGGATGGGTGTAACTATGAGAATCTTGGTTTGAGAGAGGTGGAATGAGAGATTGAGAAGATTCAGATTCTAATGGTTTGAGCTTTGATGGGAAGCAGAGGTGAAGGTTTTTCCAAAAGATGTTTGCCATTGTTGAGTGGGTGAAGTGGGGGTCTGGTTTCTGAGGGCATTTAATATTTGGAACGGTGGGGTTTGTTTGAAGAGGGTGGGCACTACTGCTGTTCTCGGGACTGTAGAGGGAAGACGACTTTTCTTTTGCTAGTGGGCAACGGTATGCTTTTTGGTCCTCATATATTGGCAATCATATATTACATTCTTTTATCTTAAATTGTAAATTTACAATAGCCAACCGGGCCTGTGACCCAATTGGTTGGCCTCAAGTTTTAGGGTTTGGGTGAGATGGAGGTAAGGGTTTTGACTTCTGTCACTGTCGTAAACTCCACCAACTTGCGACCTAATAGTTGCGCGCCTCAAATGAGGGGGTGGAACGTTCACTTTCTTGGAAAAATTCCAGCTGCTAACAAACTAACTCTACTAACTTCCTAACCATCTATCTGGTCAAAAAAAAAAAATTACAATAATGATAAGATATTGTTACATATAAACGGTTATGCATGAATTTTTAAATGAAAACAATTGACACAACCTAACAAATTTTTTTATAGCAATAAAGGTGTTCTTGGATCAGTTTGAGTTTATGTACATCTCAAAATTAATTTCTTATTAATTTGATCAAAGACAATTATTTACATCAAAATTAAAAAATATATAAAAAATTATCTTTTCATTAACTTTCTCAAAAAATTAAATTTTGGTCAATAATGTAATAAACAAACTCAATTGCCAACTGACCCAAAACTTTTTGAATGACACTTCATAATTATAACTTTACAATATTAAGTGGCATTACATAACATTGCAACTACATCATTTTCATGCATATATTGAGCAATTTTGGTGTTTTGCCTTATTACTTCCTATATAGCATTTTGTATAAGTAATTGGATTATATAATGATCACATGTGAACAACTTATTTTTACAATTTAATTTTTTATAATTTTTACTTGTTATTAAATTAATATATATAATATTATGAGTTTCAAGTAAAGTGAAATGAACAAATTATTAAATAAAGAACAAATTATTAAATAAATAAATAATTGTGAAAAAAATTATAACTAAATCATTTTCCTAATTAAATTAGCTTGTCATGTCATTGGGATAATGTATTATAACTTGGAATTGGCAGTTAACTAGTGCTATATGGTCTAGTGGCATGTGGTCTATAATCAGTTTTGAGTTGTGATGACACTAAAAATCTTATGTTTAATCCTTACTGCACTTTAAAAAAAAAAGAAGGAAGAAGAGAAAAGAAAATCATTATTACCTTGAAATTACAACGGCAATGACAGTAACTAAATTGAATACATCAGAATCGCTCGTTTAGGTATAATGGTTCGACCCCAAATTTTAAGTGTTTGGGTGAAAATGGTCGGAGTTTTGAACTCTACCACCGTTATGAACTCCACTAAATGCAGTCCAATGGCCGCGCGCTTTATTTGAGGAAATAGAATGTTCATCCGTTCTGGAGATCAAATCTGCAGTTGTTAACAACTAACTCAAACTAACTTTCTAATCATTATTATTGTCAAAAAAAAAAAAAAAAAGAAGAATACATCAAAAACTCCACTGGCTTATCCATATTCATAACTTTGAAAAACTTATATTCAAATCGATAGTACTAATTATTTATAATAATAATTATATATAATATTATTTACAATTGCACTTCAATTCTGGCATAAGGGTTTATAATAATAATTATATATAATATTATTTACAATTGCACTTCAATTCTGGCATAAGGGTTCGTCACGTGGGGTCATATGCTTTTTACAAATTTCCACCAAAGGCCTATTTGGTTTGAGGACTACTTTCCTTTAAAAACTTTAATACAAAATATTGTAAAAAAAAATAAAAAAAAGTAAGGTATGGAATTGGTAGCTCTAGTAATGAAATTTTATGGAGATTTTTTAATTTTTTTAAGTTTGGTAAGTTGACATTGAGAAAGATCAAGACTATATGTAGTTTAATTATTAAAAAACAACCATCAAGTATAAATAAAAGTTTTAATTATAAACAATTATTAACTATTAAATAGTAATATTAATTAATAACTATTAGTTGCATTTGAAAAACGCAAACAAGACCTACTTTTACTCACAAGAAATGGTGTAAAAGCCAAAAAGAAAAAAGTAAAACTATTAATTTTATTTTTTATTATAATATCAACATAAGTACCAAATTGCCCCGAGCTTTCCCAAAGAACCTGCCTTAGACACAATCCCCCCACCCTAGTGCTGGGTCTTGGGATAGGCTCAATGACCCGGCATTTCACAAGATTGCAACTTGAAAACTTAAGGCTGGGCATTTAAAACCGACTCGACAGGTTACTCAAAAATTGAATCGAAAAAATGAATTTGCCTCGATTTTAATGGTTTTTGGTTTTTATTTTTTTAGTTTTGGTATTAACCAAATAATTTTGGTTTAATTTCGGTTGAATCTTTTAAAAATTGAAAATAAAAAATAACCCTTCTGAAAATCAAAATTAAAATAAATATGATAAAATATGACAAAATATAATAAAATATGTGATAAAATATAATCTATTATTAAAAAAATAATTGATTAATATTTATTTAGCAAAAATTGAAGCCGAACAGATTTTTTTGGAAATCAAAATTAAAATAAATATGATAAAATATGACAAAATATAATAAAATATGTGATAAAATATAATCTATTTTTAAAAAAATAATTGATTAATATTTATTTAGCAAAAATTGAAGCCGAACAGATTTTTTTGGTAATCAAATTGATCGATTTATAAAAATTTTAATTCAGTTTTGGTTTTCAAATTTTGAAAAAAAAATTTTGTTATTTTAAAACCGATTTCGATTTTAACCAAAACTGGTTTTTGCCCACCCCTACTTGAAATGGTCCAAAGGGTCGTATCATTCCCATCTAGAGGTATCCCAATCCTATTAGCTGAAAACAGCCCAGAAACAGGCCGTTTATAATTGTTTAGAGATTAAACCTTTACATAATTTGATGAAGTAGAGATTTGGAGTTTAACATTACAGATATGAAAATAATATACACACAATATCTACTAATTTTGTAATTTTATAGTTATATTATATTATTATATAATTAATTTTTTATTTAAAAATTTATTATAATATTATATATATTTAATTATTTTAATAATATATTATAATTATAAATATATAATTTTATATAATATTATAATTATATCATTTTTATTAATTTACTAGAAAGAAAATCATATGATCATATGTACTTGATGAAGAGATAATAAAATGAAAGTCACATGTCCATGTTCCTCCCGAATAGTTGTTTTCTTCGTGTACATTTCTAAGAGAACCAGGTTTAGGTGGACTACAACAAGAGATTGACACGTATAATATGGCAGGTAATAATCTGTCAATTTCCTTTATATGACTTGACGTTCTAAAGCATTTTATCTTTGTATTGCAATTCACTATGCCTGCTCAGAGTGGTACTACTGCTTTCTTTATCTCTCTAGATTTTAGATTCGACTCCTCTATTACTCCCATTTCATGAATGAAAATTGAAATTTCTCATGATATTGAATTTTATTAATAAATTCAATTTTTATGTATAAATAGTTTCGATTTTGTTTGAAGCATATGCATTATGCATGTGTTGAAGTATTAAGAAATAGTTGATTACTATTGCAAAGGGAGGGAGCATCATTATCTTGATTGCCAGAGACAAGAAGAAGGCCAAAAATGTGATTGGGGAAAATGAAAGTGCCCTGCTTTTTATCTTGTTTGGCTTCAGGCTCAACTGGGGTATGGAATCATTGTCCTTGCAATAAAAACTTCATGAGTGGCATGTCCTCTTCCTGGCTACTCCTAGCTTCTTGTGTGTCCTAACAAACTAACCAATTGATTCTCCTCTAACACTTCCTTTTTTCTTTCTTCTTTGTCTAGTTATGGATATATATAAAGCTAGGGCTGTGACATCCAATTATTAAAACATTGGAGCTTGAATTTAATCAAGCTAATAATGAAATTTGATTGGCTCAACTCAGTTTACAACTCTATATACAAATAAACAAGATCACAACCTTTGAATTCTAATTACGACACGATTTCAGTCCGTGCTCAAATCATTGAGATATTTTCTAAGGAAAAAAAAAAAAGAAGAAGAAGAAGAAAAAGAAAACCAATATATCCTAACAAACTTGGGGTGAAATTCACTTTTCAGTATACAAACCACACAATGAATTATTTTTTATCAATCAAGTTTGGATTGATGGAGGAGTTGTCCATGAGTTTGGGCAGCCATGGCCAACTCAAATTGGTGTAAAGAAATTGCAGGGAAAGAAATGATATTGTTGGGAGGGCCACCAAAATCTTCCCAATTCTTCAAAGGGTTGGTGGTGGTGGTGCCATCCAGTCCTATATGTGTTACATGCTTCACATCCGTTGGAAATCCTATTTCCATCTCCTCTGATTCTATCTCCTCTTTCAAAACTGAAATCATACACATAAGAATAGGCAAGATATACTAACAACTACACATTGGGGGAAAAAAATGTTGAAACTTACCAAAAAACCGGGACAAACTTTTCACACTCTTGATCAATCTGTGTATCCCACTGGATATATTATGCTTTGGTATAGCGCAGAAAGACTTGGCGTTGTTCTTCCTTCTCTGTTTTTTCCAACACTCTTCTTGTTCTTGCTTTCCTTTACAATAATGTCATACAAAACCCAATTAACATACCCAATTTTTATTTTCTTTTTCAAATTGCAACGGTCACATGCTCATTTTGAAATAGTGTTTGAATTTACAATTCATAATTTAAACTAGCCCCTTTAATATTATTGGACATAAAAATTTCATTGCCAAAAATACGTAATTTGTAGGTATAAGTGAAATTCGAACCTGAAATTCAATAATATCAAAATTCAAAACTACAAGAAGAGAGAAAAAAAAAAAAGGGTAAGAGATGTCATACTTGGTTTTTGTTGATCATTAAACTTGGAGAGATCATCACCGGAGGCCACGGCCACACTAGAGTGACAATTGCAGCCGAGGGAGAAAGGGAGGACTACAAACTTCTCCATTGAAGCATCCTTCATCCTGCCTTAATTTGATTCAAGGGGCTGATATTTGTTCTTATAATATATATTTGTTGGTGTTGGCTTTATGAACAAGACAGAATGATTTTAGTTTTGGGAGTATTAAGATCCAACCAACCATCTCTGTATTATGATGGAGTGGGTTGGGGTTGTTAGTTAGTTAAACTGTGCAATTCAACCTAATTTTTTGTCACTAAGAATTAAAGTACTGTTTTTTCTTATTATACTCTGTTTTTGTATGATTGGACCTTCCTAATTGCTTTAACTTTGTATCTCTTTTTGTTTACATTTTTCTTCATCTCAACTCCTACTTGATATGGACTGAGTTTGCATCATTGAAAGAGTGAATCACAAGGGACTTCCTCTCTTAGAATTCAAGTGTTTAATTTCTTAGGTTCCAAAAAGCTTAGGTTGACAATGATAGTCAGGGACTTGAAGTACTCGTGCTATCCCTCCCAAGTCTAGTTGGTTCTTATTCCTTGTATGACTTGTGTAGTAGTTCTAGACTTTTGAATGTTCAAAACTTCATTTATACATTTCATAAAGAGTTTTATATTTTCAAGAGAACACTAAAATTACTAGATTTTTAATAATAAATAAATATAGTATTAATAAATAAACAAAAAATAATTTTATTAAAGATATTTTAATAATTTTAATATTTGAACTCTATTTTTAATGTATAATCCCTTAAAACAAAAATATATATATTTATCTACTAAACATGTAAAAATTAAGTGAAAAAACATTTCAAAATTATGTTATTTTACTAAATTTCTACTAAAAAAAAGACAAAATTTTTTTTTTAAATAATACTATTTTGATCTTTTTCTCCTTATAATTTATTAAAACAATATAATTTTAATTAACTATTCTCCACTTAAAACACCTTGTTTCACAAAAGATAATTGATGGTGTTAAAAAGAACACAATGAAAAGCTTTGTAAGTCCAAAGTACAATTGGGTTAGAAATGTGGCCCATTACTACCCAACAGAGGTTTCCATGCATATATCATAAATGGATAAATAAACCAAGCCCAACCCACCATCTGCTTGGGAATTGTATAAAAGAGAAGGGGGGCAACAATAAACTAATAATAACACGAGAGAGAACAAAGATCTCACATTGCACCACATCTTAAAACCATTTTTATGTTTTAGTACAAAGATAGCTTCATATATTAATATTACTACATTTTTCAAAAACACACACACACACACACACCATATATAGTTATCATCACACCAATCATCAAGCGTTTGCACCCTCATTAAGCCTGGCGGCAGCAGCCATCGACGCCGCCACTCCTCCCGGATGGGTGGCCACGTTCGGGTTGTTCCTCAGCTCCGCACTCACTACCCCTTCAGCATCCTGCCTCGTCACAGCCTTATCCGCTGGCAACTTCCCCGTCGTCCCCTACAATATTAAATTTTTTTTTAGAAAAAAAAAAAAATCAATCTCTAAATTTGAACAATTTTGGTGAATAATGAATGTTAATATTTATTACCGACAAGATGTGGTTGAGCTTGATCTTCTGGTCGTTACTGGTCATGGAGGCATTGTGAGCCGCAGCAGACTGAGCTGTAGCTGCAAGTCCACCTGGGGTTATGACATTGCTGCCTGTTGCTCTAACCTCTGCCGCTTGAATTGCAGCGGCATCACTCTGATCAACAGGCTTCTCACCTGCTGTTTGTGCCGTTGCTTCCAGGGCTTCTCCAATTGTTATTGCGGCTTGCCGGATTGCCCCCGTCTGAGTCGCGTTCACCGGCCTTGGCTGCGCATATTGTCCAACAACCTATAAAAAAAATTCTTAGATGCAGAAAAATAATTACTACTACATCATAATAATAAAAGGCGTTTTTTAACTTGTGTTCGTCTTAAAAAAATAATAATAATAAGATTTAATTTATTAATTATTTAATTAAATTTATTCACATTATATTAATATTAAAATTAATATTTATTTTTATTTTTTTATATATATTTATAATAAAAAAATATCTTTAACATGTAACATAAGCATAAGATATTTTTGTCATTTT